CAAACAAGCCACACCAGCCAGGCAGATGTTCCCAATTATATGTAGTACAATTTATCAGTCGTTTCCTTTAGGGTTAATCCTATTTGTGTCTTCTTTCAGAAATAGTCCCTTATTCCAGGGTCATGAAGATATTCTCTTACATTATATTCTTTTTCTATCTCTTTGTTCATATGTACTGATTTCTGAGTAATTTCTTCAGCTTTATTTTCTGATTTTCTAGTTCTTTTTTTAGCAGTTTCTAATCACCCCACTGGGTTCTTTATGAAAATAATATATTTCTAATTTCTAGAAATTGTATTTTTTTCTCCAATTCTACCTGGTCATATTTGATAGCTCTTGTTCCTGCATTGTCTTTTCAAATTACTTTTTATTTCTTTAAACGTACTCAACATACGTAATATGTATTTTGTACCTAAAAATTACTATCTGTTGTCGCTGCAAGTGTGAGTTTACAGTTCAATGTTTCTGCTCTCGCTTCCTTATGGGGGCATGCTTCCTTCTGGTTTTCAGAATTGTTTGCTATGAATTTGAAAGTTTGTTAAAATTTTATCCATGGGAATCCTTCAAAGCCTGGATTTAAAGCATGTTCTTCCAGAGAATTGTACTTGGTCATGCCTAGAAACACTCCTAAATCAAGACCACTTGAAACTTTTGCTTTCCCAGCCCCCCTCCCCGCCCCCCGCCCCAAAGTTTAAGGGCTTAGCAATCTAAGACTCCCCCCACTCCCACCCTGAGCCAAGATCTGCTTGGACAAGTATCCTTATCTCTCTTTTATAGACTGAGGGTGTTGCCTTTGGGGATCCCTGCTTTATGTCAGGGTCACTGACTCAATATCCTATTTGGTGTGGGCCTTAGGCTTTGTCTCTAGTCCCCAGATTTGGTCTGTTAAAGGCCTGGCCTTGGGCAGAGGAATCTGGAGATACTGCCAAGGCAGCACTGGCCTCGGTGCAGGCTTACCATTTTTGGATTTATGCTTTTTTTTTTTAAAAAATCCCTTCTGTTATTGCTTTTCTTTATCTTCCTACTGGCCCAACAATGCATTTAAAAAATGCTTTTAATGTTTTATACATCATCTTTGTTGTTGTTGTTAATCCTCACCCAAGGAGAGAGTGAGAGTACCTGTATTTCACCAGAGCCCCGTGCAGTGAGCTGTGGCTTCTGGGATGTGTGGTACAGAAGCTATTTCCATCCAATTTGGACCCAACCAGAGGTTCTGACCCCCTGGAGAATTATATATATATATATATATATATATATATATATATATATATATATATATAATTGATTTCAGAGAGGAAGGGAGAGGGAGAGAGAGAAAGAAGCATCAATGATGAGAGAGAATCATTGATCGGCTGCCTCCTGCATGCCCCACGCTGAGGATGGAGCCTGTGACCTGGGCATGTCAGTCTGCAGGCCGACGCTCTATCCAGGGAGCCTAACAGCTAGGGCACCCCCTGAAGTCTTGATGTAACTGTTGTCACTCAGGCCAGCCTGATTCACTCAGCGATTTTTCTCCTTTCGGGACCCTTCATGTGGAAGATGGTTTCTATTCTGATGACTAGGTTATACTTCTTATTATTTTTAGGTTGAAAAAAACCCCTCAGTCATCTTTGCCCCTTTACACTTCTCAGCTTATTCAATGGCACTGGCCCTTAGTTCCTTCTTCTGTCCCCACTAATATCTCACTGATGGCTGGCGGCCAGCTCTTCTGTCTTTCCGGTATCTCCTGTCAGTTACACGGATTCCTGCGGCTCCTGCCCTAGGCAGTCGAGGTGGTTGGTCCCTTGTCCTTTGTTTGGCTGTTCAGCAGCTGATGTCTTGCTGTGTTGGGGTCAGGCGATCCTCTCCCAACCTAGGCCCTAGGGGGGCAGGACCCCCAGAGAGGGGAAGCTATATGTGCCCCCCAACCCCCTAGGGCGGGAGGAGTGGGAAACCCAGGCTCAACTGAGAGGAGATAGATACTCACCCCTGGGGGTTCTCGTCATCGAAGCAGGGGCTGTGGTGGTTCCTTTGGAGGCCGGGGCGTGGGGACCGGTGGCTGTGTGCTTGCCGGGTATGCACGGGCCACAGGGTAAGAGACTCAAAGGCTCCTCTGCCTTCAGGGAGAATGCAGGGCGAATTCTGAACCCTCAGACCATTTACCCCGTGTTGCCAAGACTCCTTGCCTTCCTGCCTGTGTCCTCAGAAGCTGCAGAAGCTACAGCCAGGTGGCACCTATGTTGTCAGATTGCCCCTTCCTTCCCTCTCCAGATCGCTGCCAGACCTCCGGGCTCCCTTCCATCCCTTTGCTGTCTCCCCCACCCAGCACCCCTTCCTCTGGTATTTGCCTGAGCCTGGACCAGGCTGCAGAGCTGCCCTGGCTCCTCAGGAGAGCTCTGGCCTGGTGGGCAGAGGGGTCTGAGGGGGAGAGAGCACAGCGTGCTGGCCTCTCCTCTCCTCTCCCCTCCAGCTGCTCTCCCTTCTCGCTGGGCTCGGAGCAGGGTCTCTCACCTTTTCTGCTTGAGTCGCTTCCCCAGCCCTTTGTCTCCTGTTCACCCCCCTCACACCCTTTGCTCGGTGTGTCTGCAGGACCTCTCTGGGGGCACCCCAGTGCTCCCCAAGAAGAGGAGTCATGGCATGCTGAAGGGCATCAGAGACAAGGAGGCCGCGGCAGAGCCTGAGGAAGGCCCAGTCCACGTGGGGAGCAGCCCCACCTTCATTCCCCAGGAGACCTAACGATCAGGACACAGGCCTCTGCCCACACTCTGCCAGGCACCCCGGAGACCCCCAGCCCTTTGTCTCTCAAAGACCAAAACCCACTCACTGTCTGCCCAAGGCAGAGGGCAGAGCTGTCACGTCCAGGATCAGGGGGTGAGGAGGGATCTTCCCTTGACCATCACGGATTTCTTCCAGAGCAAAAATTCTAAACCTTCGGTCTCAGGACCCCTTGACATTCTTTAAGGAGTAGGACTCTGATGAGCTTTTACTCTTGTGAGTTGTTTCTATTGACAGTCACCATATTAGACATGAAAATAGAGACTTTTAAAGAATATTTATTTTAAAATAACATTTACTAACCCACTACGTGTGAACATATATAACACTTTTATGAAAAAGAATTGTTTTCCACATTGGAGGCAGCCTTAGAGCCCTGTAATGCGGTCCTCGCCTTCCCTCAGCCTCCACCGGCTTCCTCTCTCTTTTGCCCTCCTGTCTCCTCTACCAGGGTGACGTGGGCGCCCCCCACCCACCCAGGGCACAGGACGGAGTCTGACCTGGGTGGAATGGGGCAAGCTCCAAACCAGTTTCCTCAGTTGTCAGGAGAGATTTGATGCTTTGGGGGGGCTGGGGGTGGGGTAGAGCTGTCACAGGCAGGATCAGGAGTGAGGTAGGGTCTCCCCATGCACACTCAACGCCCGCTTTCCCAGTTTCATTCCTGGAGGGAGACTGTGATCTGCTCCTCTTCCTATCACCCTCAAACTCAGCCAGGGAGATGCCGCTCATTGGTTGAAGAATAGGACACTCGAGCTGGACTTTTATGGTCTGTGAAGAACACTGCATTCGTGACCACCCACACCTGGTCTCTGGCCCTGCCGGGCCCCGTCCAGCTGCCCAGAGCAGCTCTGCACAAGCTCTCCAGGCCCTCAGCAGAGACTCAGTAGATTTACGAGGTCAGCCTTGGCCCAGGCCCTCTCCCCATGGCTCCCAGCCACAGTCCAGCCGCTCTCCCACATCCATGCAGCCTGACTAGGACGTTCTGTGTCTTTTTTCCTGCCTCCACCCCAACTTGCTGAGTCACCCCTTCAATCCCCTTCCCCCTGCCCCCCGGGCCAGCCCTGTGGAAGAACAGCAACTCATCACACCGGTGACGCCAGCCTCTGCCAGGCGGCCCCAAACCTCACGTACTCTCATGGTGGCGATGGTGGCTCTACGGCGGGCACTCTGTACTCGGGATTCTAGTCGCCTTCACCCATCCCCTTTCACTCAACAAAAAGGTGATTCTTTCTCTGTCTGGACTTTGGGCTCCTGAAGCGATACCTGATCTGGAAGATTCCTTCCAGTATGTGCAAACTCTGTGATTAGTCCTCAAACTATTTCTTCAGGACCAGAGGTAAATTCCACTAGAACGCTATCAAATGTCTGGCTCCCCATGGCAGGACTTAGGGAGAGCCTGGGAGGGCAGTGTCTGTGGGAAGGAGTTGACCCTAGAGAGGTCATTTGTAGACAGATTGTAGAAATAATGTTAGAGCCAGTGAGTCCTTAGGCCAAAATCGTACAAGAATCCCTCTGGACCCGGACCTTGTTTTTCCTGGAGGTTGGATTCCTAACATAATGGAAAGAGAAGACTGCAATTATCATCCCCTGGAAGCGATACACATTCTTCTTCTAAGGTCCTTCAAGGATGTAACTGAACCAACCGACACTCTTCTTATGCAAGGCCTTAAGGTGCTGCGGGTTCGTTGAGGTGGCGCTGCCTCGAGGGTAAGGTCTTCTTGGACGAGGCAGTGGGGACTAGGAAACCGGAATGTGAGCCATGTGAGCTTTATGGCTTCACCTGTAAATAGAACTCGTATCAAGGAAAGAGTGGAAGGGTGCAGGGCCCCGAGGGGGAGACACTGTGGTGGCGAGGGGCAGCTGGAGAGACCAGAATGCAGAGACAAGCCTCCTAAACGCCGTCCTGCCTCTTTGACATCCGTGTACATCGTGGTGAAATAACAAAACGTTCCCTTCTTCAGTTTTCCCTCTGCTCATGCGACCCCAGCCCAGCTCTGTTCACACGCACAGCGGCCAAGAGCTTGTCTGGTCCCATCAGCCCCTGCAGCTGCTGCCATCCTAGGCCCCTCCCTCTGCTTGCAATCTCCAGATGGTTTGCAGGAACTTTGGGGCAGGGAGCAAGGGGTAGTGCCATAACTCAACCTCCAACCCAATCAAACCCCTTCCTCTCCCATTTCCCTGTAGCTGCCACGGAAGAGCCACTGGGAGTCGCCCCCGGTGCCAAGATGAGGGTGGACTCCTTGGTGCCCCTGAGCACTCCATCACAGACGTGCCCGCGGCTTTGTCTGGTCTGCAGGCTGGAACCTGGGGTTGAGTCAGATCCATAGGGTAAGAGTCAGTGTGCAGACAGGCAGGGCCTGGTAGAGAAGAAACCAGGTCCCTAAGCTTGAGTCGCAGTCCAGAAGTGAAGGTGAGCGTGAAGGTCATTTATCACCAAGAACGGGTGGGAGCGGCCTGGTGGGGAGGAGAGCATCTGCCTCTCCAGGGACTTGGGGCCTGGCCTCTGCCTCCTTTGTTCTTTGGCCCAGGCTGGTGGCTGTGGTGGAGTCAAGGCCAGAGCACCCCAGGCCTCCAGCATAGAGACGCGATCTCATTGGCCACTTCTGCAAGACATGGAGATGGAAAGTGAGGAGTGAGTCACGCTCACTATTGCAGCCCCTCGTAGTCCTTGGCACCCAAAGTCTGCCTTCCCTGGCCCCCTTCCCTGAAACCCTCCCCTGTCGTGACTGCTCTGATGACAGTAGGCTCCAACGAAACCACCATTCCTGGCCCCATGCCTTCTCCTGACCACCTGAGCCTGGCGGGGAAGCGCTTGAGGGGCCGGCTCAGCCCTCAGTCTTTTCTTGCCCTCCCCCCACCCCACAGTAAGAGCTGGGAGTGGGGTGGGGGGAGGGCAAGAAAAGACTCCTGACACTGATCCATCCTGACCCTTCTCTTGCACAGCCTCCCACCCAAGTGCCTCTGACCCAGATGTCAGTGCCTGCACCCTATGACTGGGGACCTCCCAAGACTGTCCCTCCTTCCAGCAGGAGTGTGGGCAGTCCTGGAAAGTCCCAGGATGATTTTCCCTGAGGTCTGCCCTCCCTTTGGCAACCCCTCCGCCTGGGGGCTGAGGTGAGGGGCACTGCTCCTGGCTCACCAGCTCCACTGTCAGAGCTCCAGACCTTACCCGGCTCTCATTGGTTCATTCTTCAATACATTTATCCACTGCTTCCTCCATGAAATGGCCTCACTTTGATCATCATCTTACAGCTAAGGCAACAACTATATACCCCAGGTGCCACTGTCAGTACTTTAGAGTTGCCCCCATTTAGTCTCAAATTCTTGCATTTTGGCTACATTTGCATGAAATAAAATTTAAAAATCTCAAGTTTCAAGACATTTCAGAACTATGGTGTTTAGGGGAGATAGATGGTGAAAAGTAACCTCCCTAAAAATAAAGTTGACTCCATTACAATGCTACCCTCAGGGGTAGAATGTCTCTTCCTTTGTAGCACAGTTATTACACCACAACCAGCAATTTACAGGCCGTCTCCTGGGCCTGCTTGGTGGCTGTGAGCAAGGGAGGGGCTCTTGGGTTCAAACATTTAGCCACTTAATCTCCCTGAACTTCGGCTTCCTCATCTGTAAAGCAGCCCTGGTTTGGTTCTTGTGTGGATTAAAAGATAAAAATGCACTAAAGCACAGCTCCTGGCATAACTTTAGCATCTGCCGGAAGCCAGTCCATCCTTGCTGCTTGACACAGTTGCTGCAGGAAAGAAACATCTGCACAGCATATGTTTCAAGGGACCTGGCGTATATAGCATACTGTTCTTAATATGTTTGCTCCCCTTAGCGCTGTGTGTTTTAACCAAGGTCACCTCTCCGAGAAAGGTTGTTTCCCCAGGTAGGGATTTTTCCCTGAAGTCAGGGAGGGGATGCCTCTCCTAGAAAGGTTGTTTCCCCAGGTAGGAATTTTTCCCTGAAGTCAAGTCAGGGAGGGGATGAAACTCCTTAACTAAGTGCCAGGCGGGTAGTTAATCACTTTAACTACAAACAATCATGCTTAAGCTACATAATCTTTACTCCCTGGAATGGAGATAAGAAACGCCCTAACCTTTGTAATAGAAATTGACAGGATTAAAATCAACTGGGATAAATACGGATGTAACAAGACAATAAACAGCAGAACTTCGCTGGAGATCCAGACCAGAACTTGGCTGGAGATCCTGGCTAGAGATCCTGGCTAGGCTGCTGATCAACTGAACGCTGTCTCTGTGTCATTCCTTCTTTGCCGACTCCATCCACACCTTTGGGGACTCCTGGACCTGCTGGGTTGGACCCCGGCAAGCATCCAAATACTGTTAGCTGTTATTGAGACGGTGATTTACTGTTAATTATACTTTTTATGAATAGTCTCATTTCATGCCCTGGTTGAGAAGTAAGGCTCATGTTACCTTTCCTCCCACATCTATATATATAAAAGCCTAAGTGACTGGCCGGCTGATAGCTATGACATGCACTGACCACCAGGGGGCAGATGCTCAATTGAGGAGCTGCTGAGCTGAGGTGACTTGGCAGCTGGGGTTCTTGGGTGACACAACCGGAACCAGAGAGGAGGGAGCCTGATTCTCTGGTGCATCACCAGAGAACCACCCTCTTGCAATGTGGGACCCCTCAGGGGATGTCTGAGAGCTGGTTTCAGACTGATCCTTGCAGGCCAGGTCGAGGAACACACCCCACCCCCCCACCCCCCCGTGCATGAATCCATGTACCAAGCCTCTAGTATAATATAAGCAAGGTTCGGGACAGGTGGATTGCAGTCTGGTAGGTGGTGCCCCCAGCTTGGTGGCTTCTAGAGCGATGCTTTCTTAGACTATTGCTCTCCCAGCGGGCATCTCTCCTGCCTCAGAAGTCCCAAGGACAGGGGACCATACCCCCCACATCCAACACTCTCCGAGGCGTGGTTTCCTGGTCCTTTTTCTCCCCTGACACTAGGCACCCCCCAGTCTTGGGGCCTCCATGAATGTCCCTGGAACCACATTCTCATAAAGTCATTTCCAATCACCACTCCCCACTGCAGGCCGGGACCCGAGTCCAATATCCCTCTACCCCAAACCCCTTTCCCCAAGGCCCTGGCCCTGTGGCCTACCTTGAGAGGGTGCAGGAAGCAGAGTCCACGCAGGAAGGGTGGCCAGGCGGGGCCAGGCAACTCGTGGCCGAGCGTGCGGGTGAGGTGGGCTATGTAGCTGGTGGCCAGCACCAGCACATCCAACTTGGAGAGCTTGGTGCCCGCGGGCACGGCAGGCAGAGCGGCCTGCAGGGCCAGGAAGGCCTGGCGCAGTGTCCTCACCCGGCTCCGCTCTCGTGCGGCGTTCTCAGGACTGACCTCACTCTGCACAGAGGAGCGGGTGAGTGAGTCTGACCGGACGCCCTCACCCCCACCTCCAGTCCCCAGCTTCTAAGAGCATTCTAGTGTGAGGTCTTCCATCAGAGTGGTAGCACTCTGAACAGCAGGGACCAACGACATCACCCCAATTTGTCCGTTCTTGGCCCCGCCCTGCGTTACAGCTGAGGGAATGGAGAGAAGGTCTTGCCTGGTGTCCGATGGAACAGGAGGGCAAAGCTGGCTCAGAACCTGAGATCCTGTACCCTTTCTAATTCTCCTGGGTGCCTTGTCCTAGCCCTCCTTCCATCCACACCCAGGTCTGAATCCTGCTGATCAGGTGCCCTGGGCCACAGGGAGCACAGAGCCATGTCCTCCCAGGGTCATCTGAGAAGAAGAGGCAGCTGTGGAAAAGAGGAAAGACACCAGACTGGGCTCAAATCACAGGCTCAAGTCCTGGCCCTGCGGTTGCTGACTGTTGCCCTGGGGCCTTGGGAAATTCACATCACACTCCAGGCTTAGTGTCCTGGAGAGAAGTGAGTTGGGCCAGGTCTCTTAGCCACACTCTCAGCTTATCCCAACCACAAAGCATGGAGCCTTAGAGTCGAAGGGGCCAGGGTCCCCGTTTTAGGGCAGGGATGGTAACACTGACTGACGCTCTGCCATCGGAGGTGACCTCTCTCAACCCCTCCAACCCCTGCCTCCCCAGCTCCCTCTGCAGGGCCGTATTTCCTTACCCTGACACCAGCCAGGCTCCCGGTGCCGGCCCCTCTGGGGGCAGGGGCAGCTCTGCTCCACCTCTGGTTGCTCCAGCCGGTCCCTTCCCACAGGTCCTGCCTGGTCCTGCTCAGACGGCTCCTCCGGCTGTGGGTGCCTGCTAGCAGCCTCGGCCTGGCCTTCGCCGGGCTCTGCCCCACTCCCGGCATGGCCAGTGCCCCTCTGGCCTTTCTCTGTGACATGCCACACCCTAGGGATTTGGTGTCACAGCTCCCAGGACAGGAACACAGTGCCTGAGGGAGTCCTTGGGCTCAAGCTAGCCGGGCAGGCTGGTCATCTGGCCAGCAGTGTCTATATCTGAGGGAGCTGGCGCCAACGCAGTCCTGCCTCGCTTCGTGCTCTGGGAAAACCGCCCACCGGCACAGCCCCCGCGAAAAACCTCCTGCCTGCCTCCCAACCAGCAGTGGGTGGGGGTGCTGCATGCTGGGAGTGACCAAGCCCTGGGGGAGGCCCTGCTGAAGAAGGCAGGAGGGTGGTGGGAAGGGAGCTTCCTTCTAGGAGCCTTGCCTGACCCTGACAGCAGTCTTATGATAGACCTGCGGCTTTCGCTTTGGGGTTCGAGTTCATGGAGGGGCCCTGAATCTCCTTCTTCTCTGCACACATCCTTAGAAGGACTTTTACTCCCCATGCGTGCCTCAGGTTTTCAACCCAGTGCTTTTCCTTGTACCTCTCTGCCCCCTGGACTGCCTGCTCCCACTCTGCCAGGGGAAGGCTGCCCATCTGCAGGTTGTGCCTTCTTTTGGGAAGGCCCGGAACCCGGAGCCCAGGCCTCGCTGTTTCACTGGGGCTCTGTTTATGCTTGACCACACCCTGGCTGGCTTCCTAACAGTTCAAAGTCCTCAAATCACTGCCAGGCAGTATGCTAAGCACGTTAAGTATATTATCTTTCAACCTTATAAGTCACATCCGCATTTTACAGATGGGAAAACTGAGTGTCAGGAGGTGAAATAACTTGCCCAGCGTCAAACATCTAGTAAGTGATGTGGGTATGGAAACCCAGACAGTTAGTGGACTTAGAAGACTGCCCTCACCCCATACTGTTCTGCCGGGGCTGAGTTACTCATCCGTCTGTCCCCAAGCCAGACGGGAGAGAGTTGAAGGCAAGGACCAGGATGTTTGCTGAGTGGCGTTGTATCCTCCATACAGCAACTTAGGAGCAGGCGACTGAAGAAATAGCAAATCTGCCACAGTAGCCCCTGCCTGACCTCAAGTTGCAACCTCTGCCTGCAGCAGCATCGTCTTGCATGTCCCTTGTCCCTCAATCTTGAACTCCAGGGGAGACCCAGTAAGTAAAGGGAAGGTACAGAGAGGACAGAGAAACAAAGGCGACTGTAGGTACAGCGAGGCAGACACCCAGCTGACCAGAGAGAACGGAAAAGAGAAGACAAGTAAAATTGACTGACTATCCATCAGTAACAGGAAGAATAAGACAGCCCTCTGTAAAATGACATGGAAAGCTCTCCGAGCTGCACAATTAAGTGAAAAACTTATTTGTAAACCAACGGGTATAATAAGATCCAGCCAGGATGACAAACACCAAAAACAAAGCTGTGTGAAGGTTTACGCACTTATGTGAACATAGAGAAAGGAGACTGAAAGATGCGCACCAACCGTTTTCTTCTTCCTTTTTTTTTTTTTACACGCCGGATGCAGAGACTTAAACACACACTCAATCCGCGTCAGTTCGTGGCACAGCGTCTTTGGTACACGCGGGGCCGGTTGTTGGCCTCGCTCCCACCTGCCCTCCATTTCCTTTTATCCCATTCCCATTCGTCTTCCATATGGCAGGCCACCATCCCAAAGATGTGCTATTAAATTTTTTTTTTTAAATATATTTTATTGATTTTTTACAGAGAGGAAGGGAGAGGGATAGAGAGTTAGAAACATCGATGAGAGAGAAACATCGATCAGCTGCTTCCTGCACACTCCCTACTGGGTATGTGCCTGCAACCAAGGTATGTGCCCTTGACCGGAATCGAACCCAGGACCCTTGAGTCCGCAGGCCAATGCTCTATCCACTGAGCCAAACTGGTTAGGGCATAAACTTTTAAAAGTTTATCTTGAATCCAGCAATCTTGTTGAACTTTATTAGTGCTAGTATCCTGTTGATTTTTCTAAGTAGATAAAATAATGGCAATTTTATCTCTTCCTTTCCAATCTTTATATTTCTTGTTTTTTGTTTTTTTAAAAAATATATTTCTTTATTGATTTCAGAGCGGAAGGGAGGAGGGAGAGACAGAAACATCAATGATGAGAGAGAATCATTGATTGGCTGCCCCCTGCACACCCCCTACTGGGGATCGAGCCCGCAACCCAGGCATGTGTCCTTGGCCGGAATCGAACCCGGGACCCATCGGTCCGCAGGCTGATGCTCTATCCGCTGAGCCAAGCCGGCTAGGGCTATTTCTTGTTTCTTTTTCTTTCCTTAGAGCATCCTCTCTAAAATCAATACAAACATTTTCTTTAAACAGAGATTTTTAAAAAATATATATTTTTATTTGTTTCAGAGAGGAAGTGAGAGGGAGAGAGAGATAGAAACATCATTGATGAGAGAGAATCATTGATTGGCTGCCTCCTGCATATCCCCTACTGGGAGTTGAACCCGCAACCCAGGACATGTGCCTTTGAATGGAATTAAACCTGGGAACCTTCAGTCCACAGGTCGATGCTCTACCCACTGAGCAAAACTGGCTAGGACAATATACAAACAGTTTTTAAAAGATTTTTAAAATTAAATATAGACTCACCAATTCTACTCCTAGTTATCTATTCAAGATAAATGTATGCCAATGCAAAACTAGTACAAGAATGTTCATAGCAGCATTGTTCATAATTACCAAAAAAGTAAAACCAACAAAATATCCATCAATTGATTATTGAGAAAGCAAAATATGATATAGGCATTTAAAGGAGTATTATTTGGCAATAAAAAGGAATAAAGTAATGACACATGCTACATGAATTAACTTTGAAAACATTATGTGACGTGAAAGAAGCCAGACACAAAAGGCCACATGTTCTATGATTCCATTGGTCTGAAATGCCTAGAATATGCAAATCCATAGAGACAGAAAGTAGGTTTATTGTTTCCAGAGCCAAGGGGCAGGGAGGAAGGAAGAGTGACTGCTAATGGGGATGGGCTTTTGGGGACGGGGGGGGGGGGGGGGGGTAATGAAAATGTTCTGAAATTAGATTGTGTTGATGGCTGCATAGCCATGTGAGCATACTGGAAAACAGTGAATTGCACACTTTAAATGGGTGGATTGTATGGTATGTGAATTATATATCAATAAAGCTGTTAAGAAAATAATTATTAAAATATATAAACACTAGAGGTCTTGTGCACGAAATTCGTGCACTCGGTGGGGGGGGATCCCTCAGCCCGGCCTGTACCCTCTCGCAGTCTGGGAGCCCACGGGGGATGTCCAACTGACAGCTTAGGCCCACTTCCAATGGGGAGCGGGCCTAAGCCAGCAGTCAGACATCCTTAGCGCTGCCACGGAGGCAGGAGAGGCTCCCACCACTGCCGCTGAACTCACCAGCCATGAACCCGGCTTCTGGCTGAGTGGCACTCCCCCTGTGGGAGCACTTAGACCACCAGGGGGCAACTCTTGCATTGAGCGTCTGCCCCCTGGTGGTCAATGCACATCATAGTGACCAGTCATTCCTGTTGGTCATGACTGTTCAGTCAATTTTCATATTAGCCTTTTATTATATAGGCTATCCTAAAGGGGGTGTGGAGCATGAGCCCTGCTCAGAAAGCAAGGGAAAATAAGAATTAAAGGGAGGACCCAGCCCAAATAGGCTGTGTGGTTCAGGGGAACCCTTGGTGGAGGGAGTGGTATATGGGCAGAGAGCAGAGGGGGTAACGAGGGCCCGAAAAGGAGACGAGTGCCCCAGAGAATTCCTGCTTCAGTTTTGTCAAAGGCCAGCCTGTGGATGGTCTCTGAAAGAAGGTCCCAGAGCCTAGAGTCAGAGAACCTATGATGTCACACCTGACATTTGTGACACAGGCACTAGATGTCACGGAGAACTACCCCCAGGATATGGGACTTCTAGCTCCCAAGGGGGGTGGCAGTGCCACCCCTTAGACGAAGTCCCAGTCTTTCAGAGGCTTTCACCAGCTAGCCACATGCTCCTGCTCCTGTTGGGTGTGATAAGCCATATTGACTAGGGCCAGGCTGAGCCAGAGGACATCAGCATTAGGAGCAACAAGGGCTCAGGGGAACCAGACTGGCAGGAAACCAGGATGCTTGCAGAATCCCTGATTCAGGTTTAGGAGAACAAAAGCCTATAACAGAAGACCCCCTCCTGGCTAAGGAGGACTGAAGACCAGGCTCGGACAGAAATCTGGGTCAGAGTGAGTTCAGGGTAGAGGATGCTGGGGGCAGAGAGGGGTGGATCCACTCTTTGGTGACTGTTCCTTTTTCTCCCAGGTCCCGTCCTTTCTGAAGTGCCTTGTAAAACAGTCCAGAGGAACCTTCATGGGTAAGAGCTTACAACACCAGAACACCCTCAATTCCTAGTCGCATCTCAGCCCCATACCCTCTTCTCCAACTCCTTCCTACCCTCTCTCCCTCCCTATTTCTCTCCTCCTCAGCTCTAACCTTCCTTGAGCATTTTGCCAGCTCTTCTGCCCCCAAAGGTGACATGGGTTTAGGGTCTTAGTGAACCAGCCTGGAACTGGCCCCTGAGGCAGAGCTGGAAATGGACCCATTCTCTCAATATCTTGGCTCTGTTTCTTTCTCTACAGGTCCTATGGGCTGTGCCTCCCTCCCTGGCCCATTCAGATAATTGCTGCCACCCCCAGGCTCCCAGAGGCAGCTCGGATTCTCCATCCCTATACATCCCTCATCAAATGGCCAACTGCAAAGAAGAGAGAAGCCAAGCTTAGATCCCACCTCCTGCCTGAACACCCAGAGAGCCTGGTGCTGCTGGGCTGGGTGTCTCCTACGCTGCAACCAGAGATACTGGTCCTGGCTGCCAGGTCTCTAATCTCTGGTCTTGCCGCCTCAGTCCTTTCCTGTTTCAAGGCGATGTTGCCTCAAAACAAGGACCAAGGGCTGCTACAGAAAGCAGCGCCCCCTGGGCGTCCCCCTCAGGGCTCCTCACAACTTGTGGACTCCCCCCCTCAGAACCTTCAGCCTTTGCCTCCGCAGAAATCGCTCCCTTCCGCCCCTCC